GAAACCTATGAAGACATAAAAACCAATCTACAGTAAATCACAACCACCGCCATATGGGCTCCTAGTAAACACCCAATCCCCATTCCTGGGAACACATCAATGTCTTCAAAGCTTTCTGAAAAGTGACAGGGTTGGGGCCAATCTAATCTGGGAGGGGGTGGAGGAGGTATGGTGTTCCAAAGAGCAGACACTGCAACCGAAAAAAAACGCTTTCTGGTTCCATAAGATGATATACTTTAATCAATGGGACCTGCAGTGTGCTGCTGTTTCTACCTGCACGGACAAGTAGAAACAACTGGGGAGATGGTCTTTCAAATAACCCAGTCCCAAACCATGGGCAGCTTTGTAGGTGACAAGCAGCAACTTGAATTGCACCTGAAGGCACCCTGGGAGCTAGTGAAGCTTGGGGGACTGAGTTGTTAACATGGGTGCTCCAAAGTGTGTCTGCTCTGTTGCATTCTGGACCAGCTACAGCTTCTGGATATTCTTCAAAGGCAGTCCCATGTAGCGTTCATTGTAGGAATGCATTTGGGAAGTGACCAAGATGTGAATGAGTGACCTAATTCAGGAAAGTGTGCAATTGGCACACATACAAAATTGTGCAAAAGCACTCCTAGCCATGGTTGCCACCTGTTCCTCAAACAGGAGCCCCAAGTCAGACCCCCAAATTGCACACTGGTTCTGTTCTACCCCATCCAGAACTGAAGATGGAAAATCACCAGATCCAGGAAACCCTAAAGCCTGTTCTTCCCCATTCAGACTCTCACAGCCTCCATACACTGAGATAGCACTCCCACAGCATCACTTGGTCCAACTTAGGTGAAGATGTAAAGCTGGGTATCATATACTTTACCTTGGGCTGTTGAATGGTCTCACTCAACAGCATCATGCAGATGTTAAACAGGAGTGAGGAGAGTGTCTAGCCCTGAGGGACCCCACAAAGCAGTAAAGTAATGGAACTCTAGCGTAGAAATATATATTTTTTAAAAATACATAATTATTGTATTTTATATTTTAACAACCAGTCTTTATGAGAGAAAAAGTTAGTTTAGATGCACCTTTTCATCCAAGATCAAAGGAGCCAATGTTGAGGGCTGACTATTGAGTATTGAACACTGAATTTTCTTCCTCCTGCAACTCCAAATCTGCTCCAGGGGTGGACTCCTTGGAAAAGATTTGAGAGGGATGATCTGGTCTGCTATCAATGCCCATGCTGGATACAATCCATTAGCTTCACCTGTTGCGCTATTACACATTACACCTTTGTAATTGTGCTTCTGAGAGCAGCCAGTATTTTCTATCTTTGTGTAATTCTGCTCCGTTCATTGTTCAACATGCTCTCTTCATCTTTAACAATGTGATTGGCTTCTCTATAGGATCTCTTGTATTGTTTTCCCTCCTGCTCAGACTGAAGACAGGGAATGATTACAGAAGTGCAGAAGTCAAAACTGTAAGCAATTGACTAGTTGTTTAAATTGAAAACAACCCACTCAGGCAATTCAGGTTCTGTAAAATGTTTAACAAGCATGATCTCTCTGCTGTAGGGAGCATCAGAGCTATTTCATCCCCTGCTATTTTACTGTGCTGCATTATAAGAACTTTGCACAAACTAGGTCAGAAAGTTGCAACTTAAGGGCAGACGACTGCTTGTAGAATGTTGTAGAAGAGTTGTGTTAGTTGGTGGTAGTAAAAAACTGGGAGACTGGTAGCATCGTTTCAGACTTGCGTGAGCTATAACTCACAAAAGCTAACACCCTTTCATAAAATTTAACAGTCTGAAAAGGTGCTACCAGTCTCCTGATTTTTGGTCTGTAGAATTTCATTTCATTCCACCCAGACCCTGCTATAGTCATCTATTTCCACCGTCCAGCCCACCACCCCTCCAACCCTGGTAGACATCACTGATATGGGCATCAAATCTCTGAATAAGCTGTAATAATGCCACTGCTGTTGGAAAATGGAGAGGACCGAACAATTTGCTACAAATCTACAAATCAAGCAACCTACAACCGATGAAGAAGTCTTGGGATGTGACAGAATGTAGGTGTTGTTTAAAAGACAGTTGGGTGCTCAGATGAAAAGAGTATCTTGTGAAAATTAGTTATGAGAAGATGTTGACAGTTCTCCACTTTAGAGCTCTTATTACTGCATATCTAAGATAATGAACAGAAGCCACAATGTTATGCTGTATTTTTGTAGTAGGCATAACATTTCCCTTCCATAGATTTAATACACAAGGTAGTTGTTATCTACCATGTTCTGTCTATTTAAATTGGCCCTCAGTGTTTTCTTATCCTTATTTATTTCTAATAGACCAGCATGGCTACCTACATTTGTTGTCTACTTGTAGCTATGGACAGAACTTGCTTTGATTCCTGTCCCAGACTATCTGTACACACTACCAATTAATATAGGAATGTTAAGTGACCCAAGTAATGGCCTGCTCTGGTTTAACCTGGTTTGTGATCTCACCAAGTCTATTGATCATAAGGAGCCTCCAACAGATTTCCATAGAAACAATACCAGTCTCAGACTTTCTCAACCAGGAGAGGATTGTAGAAATGGAAATGATGGCCTAACATTTAGTGGAAAAAACTCTACGGTTTTTTTTTTTTAACTGCTAGGTAGTGACTATGTATTTTTTTTGCAAATTTTGTTCTAGGGACTGCATCTTATGGTTTGGAGGAAGCATATGCAACCCAGGACTGCAGATTGTTCATCTTTTCATTAGAGACTGCTGCCTAATTTGGCTTCTATTAATTCGTTAGAATGGGTATCCCCACAACACCATAGAGTTTTATTTAAATAAATTTATTAAATTTTAAACCAGAAACAGTAAAAACTAACAAAAACTAATATTAAAGGAAGAAAATAAGAAAAAGAAAGGAA